CGAATCTCCGTCGCGATCCAAACGCTCACGCGGTCGCTCTTTTCGACGGCGCAAGACCTCCTCCAGCACTCGATTGACCCTCTCCCTCCTACGCCGTGCTTTGATGGACTGGACGAAGAAGAGGCAGTAGTGGCGGAGTATGGTATCCGAGCAGAGTACCTCCAGAAAGAGAAGGAACAGCGAGGGAGGATCGACGAGGCGGTCAGGACGACGACGAGGGACGTTGGTGCTTGCGTGGAGGAGATCTGTCACGAACGGACGAAGGATGTGAGGAGCGAGGTTGAGGGATTTAGAAAGGCGTTGAAAAAGCTGGTGGAGGCACAGGAGGAGATCAAGAAGGATCTGGTGCTCAAGTTGACGAGCTGGGGAGTGTGGGACTGGATGGAGGTGCGTCGCGAGGGTGGGAAGTGGGAGATGGCGGAGCAGAAGGATGAGATTTTGAGGAGAGTAGAAAAGCTCGAGGGAGGACGAGAACGCGATAGGGATGAGCTGAGGGAGCTGAAGGAGCTGTGGAGCAAGTTGGAGGCGGTGCAGGACATGAGGGCCGGCGTCAAGGACGAAAGTGCTTCCAAGGTGCGTCGACTGTCTTTATGTGCAAAATCAAAGTTTTCAGTGCTCATAAAACCTACTCCGATCGTCATCAGCTCGTTTTACATCCCCAATCATTCCCGTTTGGCCTCCAGTTTCCAGCACACCCCTCCACCTCTCTCGCTCCTCCCTTCGCGTTTCAGAACGACCCCATCCGCTCCTCCTCGACTCTCGCCAAGCCTCGAGACGTCTCAACTTCTATTCACACACCTTCAAAGGCCGATGAAGCTCCTACGGCCCGCCTCGAAACCCTCGCCGCCAGCAACGAAACCCTCAACTCCCGCCTCGAGACCGCTTTCGCCGAGATCGCAGACCTTCGCTCCCAAGTCGCCGCTCTCGCTGCGGAAAAGGAAGTAGAGAGGGGACAGGGACCTAGGTATGAGACGAGAAGTCGTGATGTTGGCGAGAGGAAGTGGCGTGACGAGCTGGAGGTGTTCAAGCGTGCGACGGAGGAGAGGTTGGACGCGAATGACGAGGTTGCTGAGTTTGTGCTTCGGTGCGTCCCTTTCAAACATTATCGATCTCTGAACTGGTACAAACACTTATCGATGAGCAAACAGTGCTCTACCGGCGCTGTTGAGAGCGGCCAAGGTCGCGTTGGTTGCGAAAGACCGAGGAGGCGGACTCGCGAAACAGAGTGAGAGGGAGGATGAGGACAGCGGGAGTTTGGAGGATGGAGAGATAGCGGAAGCGGAGTTGAGCGAGGAGCTTTGATTGTAAGATGAAATAGGAGTTGAGAATACTACGGAGTCAGTTTAAACCTTTCAACGGCGCCGTTCGATTTTTCCGGCCAGAAGCACCAATGAACACGTGGAGCAAACCTTACCATTTGCAGACGCATTCGTGGCTGCTGGCCAACCCAAAGCTTTCGTATGAGAAACAAATATCAAACTTAGCGATTGAACACGACACTGCTATCAAGAAGGTGAGCAGCCGCAAGACGGCATAGCAGAGAAATCTTGCTCACACTCGGTGGGGTCTCCTACGACCAGCCCTGAACAAATCTTTTCGCAATGACTGCTCTTGGTAGTGATCTCCAGGAGAGGGACTCCTTGCGGCAGAAGCATGAGAAAGACCTGACAACCCCTCAATCGGGTACGGGTCTGCAGGAGCACAATGTCGGACGAGGATTGGCGTCAAGGAAAGGACAAAGTCGGGCACTCACCGGCGCTGAGAAGGAAAGTCTGAATTCCATAATTGTTAGTCGGTCACAGAAGGTGACAAAAAGAGGGCCTACTTCAAGAAACTCATAAGCGACGTCCTTAACTTGACCGTGAGCGGTCTGAAAGTGTTCGAAGAGAAGATAGGCTCCGCTGCAGAAGCAGGCCTGACAGTAAGCAGGTGAAGGTATTATAAAATGTACAAAAGGATTACTTAGGGTCGTCCGTGAACTGTGGGCAAGGCCAAGGGCTCGCGTGCTGCATGGGACAAGGACGGGGGAGGCGCTGATGCGTGATGACGAACGCTTCCTGAGAAAGGACTTGACTGAGTCTGCGAGAGAGCGTCATTTAAATAGCAACCAGGATGGTTAATGGATTTAAGTTTCACCCCTTCAGCACCTGTTTCATACGCTCTGTTAAGGTACGATAGAAATGTCAGCTCAACATGTGCGACACACGAAGGTGCCCTCACTCACCTGGCCAGTGTGGCCTTGCGCCCCAGTACTAGAGAACTGTCGGCCTTTAGCCCTTTTGATAGGGAGAGTGACCGCAGTCACCTTGCCGACGCAAGCTGCCGCCAGCTCGTCAGCGACTCTGTGCGCTCGGAGTGATGCAAGGTGCGTCTTCAGCCTATCTCTAGTGGCCATCTATTGAGCTGGATCAGAATTCCCTCTTAGTTCTATACTGCTCACTTCTTTGCCAACGCCATGTGGGCACAGATGTAGTCTTGAGCTCTGCCGAAAGTCTGTGGCCGAGCATCATTCATGCGGCAGCCTTCGAGAGGGCAAGGCACCCCCTTTGGAGTCCTGGGTGCCCTGGGCATCAGATCGTTTCTGGCAAGATAATATGAGCTTCAGCTTGCAAAGCGGTCGCAAAGGAGGATTCTACGCCGTTGTTGGCTGCCGTTAGTTCGGAAGGAACTGCTTACAGCGGCAGGAGCGGGCGGAGGCGCCGGAAAGACTGTTGAAGGAGCCTTTGATGCTCTCAAATGCGACAAAGGCTGATGGTTCACCCTTACTTGCTTTGATGAGAGAAAGAAGGGCGTCACAGGAGTCCCCGCCAGCAAAACTGGCACTCGAGCTCCTGTTTCGGCCCCGCGCTGCGCTACGTGGCGGTGCGGGTGAGAAAATGTGCCGGACTTAGTGACAGGAACGTGCCGAAAGGTAAAAGTTCTATGCTTAAAAGGTCGCTCAGGAGCGTATCTTGAGGGAGGTCATGGCCAGCAAGCTCGACACGTCCACGGCATCGACGACGACCTCCGTCACATTTCGCCGGCGGTCGAGTTCAGACTCCATACCGGTATTGAGGACATTTTTAGCTCATCATGCCACAAGTCCAAGGTATGGCACATCGGGAAGCGTGAGTTGCGCAACAGCCTGCCCGTGACTTAGCGCGAGCACACCATCGCCCTACGTACAGCGAGCGGTACACGTCAACACCGGTCAGCGGACCCAGCGCACCATGCTCCCTCTAATGTGCGCTGTGCTTGCGTAAGAGTAGTCACAGTGTCCTTGTGATGTTATCTAAAAGTTTTCCTGGTCTCAAGTCTTTTAGAAACCGTGTAAAGGCTCTTCATTTCGCGACGTGACCCCACTCTCGGAAAGCACGCTATCGCGCTGGCACGCAATCCCTCCACATGTTGATATCTTCCCTACGGCTTCGGTCCCCTGCCTCCCCTCGCTCTCTTTCTCTCCTCACCCCAGCTTCATCCTGAACCAATCATCACTTCGCACAATGTCGCAGACTCAGACCCAGACGCAATCCCTCGAGTCCGCCACAGCCTCGCTCTCGCTTCGAGGGTCCACCGTCCCGCTCAAGTCGACGGGCGTCCTCGACAAGTACTCGCACTTCGACAACACTCCTGTCATCGGACGTCAATTTGATGATCTTCAGCTGGTGGACCTTCTCAACGCACCTAATTCTGATGAGCTCATTAAGGAGCTTGCTGTGATTGGTAAGTTCTGCTCCTTTGACGAAAGCGTGGTGCGGTGCTTCGGTGCTGACGCTGCGATGGCGCTCGCAGTCTCCCAGAGGAACGTTGTGTTCTTCAAGAACCAGTCCATCACCGCCGATGAGCAAAAGATCGTAAGTGCCAGTATCCCACTTGTCGTTCTCAGAGCACTACTGATACGTCTCACGCACGCAGCTCGGCCAGAAGCTCGGCGAGCTCTCGGGGAAGCCCGCTTCCTCGACTCTTCACGTCCACCCGGTCACCGAAGAAGCTTCAGAACTCGGAGACGAAGTGACCGTTATTTCTTCCGAGAAGTTTGGTGGCAAGGGCTCTCGCGACCCAGCTAAGAGTCGATTGGCGTCCACGTCGTGGCACTCCGAGTGAGTTCCGTTCTCATCCAGGCTTCATCTCGTCTCCTCTCACGCTGGACTTTGTAGTATTACTTTCGAACCCGTTCCGTCCGACTTTGCCATCCTGAAGATCTTCAACGCGCCTGAGACGGGCGGCGATACTCTCTGGGCCTCCGCATACGAGGCCTACGACCGCCTCACGCCCGCCTACCAAAAGTTCCTCGAAGGCTTGCACGCCTACCACGAGGGCAGGTTTTTCATCAATGTCGCCAAAAAGTAGGTCTTACGGCATCTAATTGATCAATCACTGAAGGGCTAACACTTCTTCACAGGTACGGATCGGAGCTTCGTGACATCCCTCGCGGCAGCCCCGAGAATGTCGGCCCAGCCCTCGAGGCCGTCCATCCCGTGATCCGCACCAACCCTGTCACTGGGTGGAAGGGAGTATTCGTGAACCCGGGATTCACTCGTCACATCGTCGAGTTGAACAAGGACGAGTCGGACCAGGTCCTCCAGTACCTCTTCAAGATCTTCAACCAGAACCACGACCTTCAGGTCCGCTTCAAGTGGTCGAAGTGAGTCTTTTCTTTAGAGGACTAGACGATGTTTACGGCACTGATCCGGTGCTTCTTAGGAACGACGTTGCCATCTGGACCAACGCGTCGAGCCTTCACAGCGCCACGTTCGATTACGCTGGCACGCGCACCGGCCAACGTGTCGTGAGCATCGGAGAAAAGCCTTACTTTGATCCCAACGGAAAGTCGAGGAGGGAAGCTTTGGGACTTGAGCCTTGGTAGTCGAAGCCTGAATGAATGTTTAAAAAGAATGTATACAGCCTCGCGAGTAGTCACTCGGCAGTTGGCAAAGACGAAATGGCACCGGGGTGGTGCACTGACGTGGCCTTCCCCTTTCCTTTCCTGATCCTCCGCCGCTAAAAGCAGCAAAAAGAGGTGCCCCCCGCCAGGATCGAACTGGCGACCTTCGGATTGTTCACTTTCTGATGAGTGATCATAAGAATAATATGAGACCAAAATCATAACCAACTAGACCAGGGAGGCGGAAGCTTGAGCGTCACGTGATGGAACTGGCGGTATCGGCATGGCGGCTCAGGAGAAAAAAAATTTGGCATGGCGGGTTTTGCTTCTCATGCCGGGTTTTGAGTCGGGAGAATCTGCAGAACAATAGTGAGTACATTTCTGAGCCTCTCTACGACCTCTTGCGGGCCGCTTTCGGCCTGTCGCTATTCAGTTGCAATTGGGGCTGCAGAAGGGGCGATGAGGATTGCCGTAAGCTGGGAAGCCGCTTTCAATTAATCATGAACTGCACACAATAAAAGGCATTCGAATGAGCACCTGTAAGTCAGACTTCTGCTCATAATCTCGGGGAGCGTTTCCGGCGTTTCGTTCTTGTGCCCGCTCTTCTCAGGAGCACTCAGGCTTCAGGCTTCTTCCCACTCGTGGATCGCAAATGCCGCCAAGAAGGTAGTCTCATTTGTGCCCTGTTCTGTCAACTATTGCTCTTGATCGAGTTGACCTTTTTAGCCTGGTGGGTAAGTACATGCTCATGTGACCACGTGGACAAGTGCGACGACCGTGCCCGGGCCTGACCGTTCGTCTGTCCCATGGTCGGCACGAGAGAGCTCTACAGTACTAGTGAAGCTACTGCGGCAGGCAGTTGTGATGTAACTCGTGTTGCGGAGACGAAGCAAAGGCTGTGTTGGCCCCCCTTTCCCGCAGTGGTTTCGGGAGCCGGGCGTCGGGAACGTTTGGGGGGGAAGCCCGTCCTAAACAGGACGAGCGCGATGGCCCGCCCTCCCCTCACAACTTGCACCAACTTTTACGCTCAACCCACGCACCAGCCAGCACCAGTAGCGCACCACAAGTTACACGAATCTCGCACAACTCGCACGACTTTCCCCGCCCTCGCGTTCGCCCGGTGACCGCGCGCGCTCGTCCGCCACTTGGATCCTCCCCACTAGCGCCCCTCGTCTCGCCCCCGTTTCCGTCCTTCGCCCCCGCCCACGATGCTCCCAGGCAGGCAGAAAGTAGACATCAGCGTGAGTAGCACTCATTTCTCTCTATACCTGGCCGCCAGCTACACCGTTGCACGATGAGGGGCCCGCAGAGGGGCTCAGCGCGGGATGACGAAAGGGCTGGCTGGCGCGGGCTGAGATGGCGATGGTGCTGACCCCGTTGCTGGTACAGTCGTTCACGGAGCAGGAGCGCGAACTCTTCCAGAAGTACGGCAAGGTCCCGACGCACAAGAACCTCCTCTCCCAGAAGCTCAAGGTGCGTCGCCGTTGCTGGCCGACGCGCTGCCACCCTCCCCACCTCGCGCGCCCCCCCTTCGTAGCGCTCCTCCGCTGACCCGTGTCGCTGCTTCGCTCGTGTTCGTATACGGACAGGAACGAAAATACTTTGATTCGGGCGACTACGCCATGTCGAAAGCCGGCGTCACGCCGCACCAGCAGGTCGGTACCGCGATCCCCTCGCCCGCCGACATCCCTCACGCCTCGCCGCCCGCCAACCCGCTCTCGACCTCGCCCTCGTCCTCCGGCATCAGCGTCCCCGGCATGGGCAGCAGCCCCACCAACACCCCGCAGAACTCGTTTGGTGCTGGCGGACCCGGCGTTGGGTTGGGCACGAGTCCAGGCAAGGAACCGATCGGCACCGAGAGGCAGGGGACCTTGGCGTGAGCAGGTCGGACGAGAAACGTCGTTGGTGGCTCCAGGGGTCCTTCCATGCTTTGGCTTTCTCTCCGACATTGTTTGCTTTCCACCTTCTCCCCCTCCCCCTTTTCCTGGTTCGCGGTCCCTCGTCGAGGCGTTCGTCGTTGCCGTCCAGTCGTCCCCGACCATCTCGAGACTCGGGCGTCCGCACCAACACCGAAAACGTGGACCTCTCTTGGATTTAGCCACGATTCCTTTTCAAGTCATGTATTACACGTTTTAGGGCTGCACACACCTTGTTCATTTCAGCTTTCCCTCTCAATCGAGCTTCCCTTGTCCCAGTACTTTCTCTCTGCCCTTCAGGCGTGGCATCCCTTCCCACCACTTGACGCCGTGCCTCCGTCTGAGCAACCTCATTTGTACTGCTTCAATCCATTTCTATCATCGTTCTTCTCTCCTACCTTTAGAAGGGGACTTCCTGCTTTACACGATAAAGTATTGAGAGAGCGATCAATGCTATCGGCTCCTCGGCGACCGAAAGTATGCGCACGTGTCTTCCGCTCCGCTCGCTGAGCATCTTCGTCTTCTGTTGATAGGCAGACCCTCTTTGGGTACGCTAAGGGCTCTGAGAATATCTACATAACCTTTGTCGGTTGATGAACAGGCTTGAACGGGAACGCTTGGACGCTTAGTCTCCTCGCTTTGTCGCAAGAAACACCCACGCGTCAAAGCAGTTCCCATCGCTTCTTTCTCCTGGATTGGTGTCTTTGAGCTTTTAATTTCGTGCTATCTCGAAGGCTGATGGAAACTTCGAGGGTCGAAATCACGCCAAGGTGCGAGGTTGGACTTTGGACGACTCGGCGTCGGACGACACGAATTCCGTCCGCTGTCGCGCACTCGACAACGTTTTCAGGTGGCTAAATCGGTGTGGGGGACTTTGAACGAGCGAGCCATACAAGTCTGTACGTCTTGGTTTCCCCCCCTTGCCCCCTTACGGCCGTTGAGCCGTCGTCCCAGACGCGCGGGTTTGGGTCCAGCCCAGGGACCCCCGCGCATCCTGGTGTGGCTTTCGAGGGGTCAAGATATGGACCAGTCGTCACAGAGGCTGGATTGCGTCTGAGCCGGTGAAGATGCTAGTAGGAAACAGCATTTAGTAGAGGTTTTGGAAGTGTCGGGAGCGTTTGAAGGTGGTACGTGGCAGGGCCAGCGGTCTCGGATTATCTCCGTACCGGCCAAGTGGCCTCCCAGAGTTTCGAGCGTTGCTTTTCACGTTCTGTTGCGTACACTTCTTTTTGTAGCCTTACCAGTTGAAGTCTCTTTGCATAACTCGGGACAGCTAGACATGTTACCCAACGCGGAAGGCGAGAAGAAATACCAAAGAAAAAAAGATGAAGAGAAAAAGGACCAACCTGCGGAGCGCGTTCTCGATCATCTCGCCCGACAGGCCACGCCCCCCGCGTGTCGGGTTGTTCGAGCCACAGCGAGCCGTTTGCTTTTCTCTCATCATCTCCAACCACGCCCCTCGCTTCTCTGCGCGTCGCCCGACCTCCAACCATGCTGCCCAGGAGGCTCCGAGCCAACGTCCGAGCGACGCTCCACTCGCTCTTCAACAGCCACGTCGACACGCCCGCCAACGCGCCCGAATCGCCGTTCTTCTCCAACGAGCCGTGGTCTGGCGAAGGCGACGCTCACGGCGACGACACCGCGGGTCACACGGGCGGGGAGGGCACGATTGACCCGTACACGAAGAGAGAGTGGGGGAGTGTGTCGAAGCAGAGGGCTTACTCGATGCCGAGGGCGAGGAGCGTGAGCGTGCAGCCGCCGCTCCTCGTGGCGTTTATCGCTGTTACCGTGGCCGCGACGGCGTTCCTGTCGTTCAGGTCGCATGGGAGCGCTGTCGAGCTCCCAGTGTTTGATATTCCCGTTGAGAAGGGGTATGCTCAGAGGGTGGGCAACTGGAGTGCGTCCGAGATGGAGCTGAGGACTTACAAAGGTGCGTTGAGGGAGCATCTCATTCTGCTTCGCTCGAGCGACTCAAGGAGCGCGAAGGAGCGCGCGTCCGGCTTCGGAGTTGGTGCTCACTAATTCGTTCATACAGGTTGGGGCAACCACACGCCTCACGAGAGCTTGGAACGCATGCTAGACGGGTTGAGCGAGGTGAGTTCGCGGCGCGCGGGGTGGCTTTTCCCCTTCGAAAAGTTGAAGGAAACGCGGGCGTCCGACCGTGGCTGACTTCGCTCTCCTGGGACGTGCAGTATGAGATGAGGACATATACGTGGCTTGTGCACGCGAGGCAACAGTCCTCTGGTGGTACACCTATTGGGTTGAGCGCGTCGGACCCGCCAGAACCGATGCGGCCGAGAAGGGCTCATGGAGGGACGGGACCGGGAGTGTATCGTGGAGGCTCGCCCGAGAAGTGAGTTCCGGTTGTTCATTGCATGTGACTCTTGAGAGGGTCTCAAGGGGCTAATGGTTGTGGGTTAAGGTACGGGAAACTGGTTCGAGAGTTCCACGTTGGGCGCCGCACGACGGCTTGCGAGTCGGACGACTGGGGGGACGAGTACGCGGAGAGGCATCAAGGGGTAAGGCTGGGATGTTTTCTTAGCTCAGAATAGAGGCTCATGTTGCTGGACAGATCGTGAACGGGAGTGTAGCGCCTCAGATTGTCGAGTTTGTGTGTCGGAGGAGTGGAGAGTGTGGTGGAGTTGCTGATCGGTGAGTGGCTCCTTCCAGTATGGACACCTTCGGAGTTGGTGCTCTTGATGCTCACACGCCTTTGCTCAGGCTTCTGGGGACTGTCACTTCCTTCGCGTTGTCTTTAATGACCGGTCGCGCGTTCTTTGTACGCCACAGCGCTTCTTTTGTTCTTGCCCTTCGATCACTAATTCTATATTGGCTCGATTCAGGTGGCTTGGGAGTTCCCGTTAGCTATTCTCTCGATCCACCGTAGATTTATGGAAACTTCTAATCATCTCTGCCCCCCTTCCATACAGCGTGCCCTTCGACCTCGTGTTCGATTCTCCACACATCGACTGGTCGACCTCGTACCACGACGAAGTGTCGTACAACCAAAAGCCGTTTTACAGAGATCCAAGATTGGGCACCGCGCCGTACCTCGCCGACTCGTACAACCGCTACGTGCCAGAAACGGATCGCATTCACGACGCCATCGTCGCGACAAAGTGGCATAACAACAACTGGGTTGAGGTGAGTTAAGGCTGCTTTTTCGTTGATGCCAACTAAGGTGAAAGGGGGATGGTGAGACTGATGATGAATTTGTTTCCAAGTACTGGGGCAACCGCGGCACGGTGCTTCGCTTCTTCCAAACCCCGTCCTCCGCCGAACCCCTCTACAAACTCGGCATGACGCCCGACTCCGCCTACTCGTGCT